TTTTTGAATAAATTCTCTCTTATTGACGATGTTAGTCATTAGGAAATTTAACTACATTTACATGTTTGGAAAACCTCAGTCGTGGGGGTGTCGCGGGTCCCCAGACGTCCTGCGTTTTCAAAAGGCCATTATTGTGTACTGGGTGTCCTCTTTCTGTGGTCAGCGTGTTCGACATTTTTGGCTATGCTATTAATGCGTGTCGAAGACGTCAGACTTCGGTGCGCTTCCTTGAATACTAACAATGCTTTTCGATTACTTTACTGTGGAATGATTATAATTTATTTTTAGAGTGGCAGCCTTTTATCACTGCTCTATTGCGACTAGTTACAAGTTGGAGTCGAAACCAACAAGACTAAAGCATATTTCCTTAGTATTTCACTGTTTTTACCTGTTCTGCCTGGGGCATCCAGTGCCCGGGTTAATCCATGTAGCGCCCAGATGCAATCAATACCCTGGCACTTTCTAGTAGGGACGCGAACAAAATGGAATACTTTGTTATATTTTCCCCAGTGACCGGAAATTCGGGTGCAAATGCCTACACAGGAGTTTATTTTGTATGTCCCTCGTGTGCAATATTGACTCTGGAGGCGCAGAAGGGTTTTATAGGTTTTGTGGCAAATTTAAAGACTTTGTTCCTGTTGAGTTTCAACTTGAACAAGTAAGTTGTTCAAAGAGAGCCCTCGTTAGCATTCGAAGCAGCCTGTGGCATATTATTTCACCAACAGTGTCAATAAAATTCGGTGACCTACCAATAAACAAATGAAAAACTTCAAGACACTGGATTGACAGTTCTGTGCAATTTGTAATCAAGGAACGGCTAATGTTGGTACAATTAATGACCTCGTGAAAAAGATTAAAACGATTTTTTTAAAACGGCGTGACTACGTGATTCTTTTGAAATTTTTTTTTGTTATTTAGTTATCGTTATTTATTTGTATTACCATTATTTTGGATATCTGTTTTAGACTATTTTTATTATTCTTCTTTTTTTTTTCATTTGTGTATAATG